AAAACAAACATAACATTTGTGCGGGGCTCTATGACATTATTTCAAAAAAAACGAAATCTTCCAAAATGGATTTAGACATAAGGGGGGCTTGCAACATATTGTAGTGTTGTAGGGTATCACATGGTCGGCCTAGCACGATTAAAGCCTTTCTTATTTGTTTTATGTATAATGTTCGGAAGCAAGGCGTTGGTCGATTTGTGGAAGTGTTAGAAGATTTGGAAGTCTTTCAAATTGTCAGCATTGCCAGAAGTTTTTAGAGGTTCCGAAGACTTGGTCTGACTTCGGATTTTTTTTCGGATTCATTGTTGTTATACTAAATGGTACGTCAAAGAACAACGTTTCAAAATGGTATGAAAATTTTCTACCTCAAATTTTCGGAGTGTAGGCTACCCACAAAAATCACCAACACCGATACTCGCCGAGAAAAGCAATACTCTGTTTCGATTCAGTACTTTGTTCGTCTACCCCGCACAATTGTTTATCGTTTTTTGTTTTTTTTTTATTATTTATTTATTTGATGATAATCTTTGAACTGTGAATTGCTTATGACTTTGCATTTTTTTCTCCTTGCATCAAGTTTCGGTTTCTATACAACCTTTTTTCGAATTTCTTATCTACAACGGCACTGGTCTTCTCCGCAACTCTGTATATTTTGTATTGTGCTTCAGAGCTTCAATAATTTTTGTCGTAATACTTCCTGGCAAGGTGTGTAAATTATGTTGCATTTAACCTAGTCAATTGTTAATGCTGTTGTTTTTGCTGCTGTTGCTGTTGTCGTTGGGGTTTGAGGAGACGGTAATTCAGCTGATATTAAGACACAACAGTTTGATGGGAACAAAAGTAATTACAATATTTATTTTTTTGTACATAAAAAATGTCATTCGATTGAGTAACGTACTGTACGTACTGTGGAGAAAGAGGTATGAGTGAAAAAAATGTGTTTCTTATATTTTGTACTCTAATATGAGATATATTGTAGTATTGAATCGAATATTGAGTTTGTATCGACGGGAATAAATTAGTTCGGCAAGAGTATTCACAATTTCAAACGCTTTTTTCGAAAGAGAAAATATGTTAAAATTGCAATGATTAAAAATTGATTTTTACACTCTCCACCTTGGAAAGGAGGGTATATCAACTTTGTCATTCCGTTTGTAACATCCTTAAATATTCGTCGTAGACCCCATAAAGTATATATATATATTCATAATCAGCATAAAATTTTTTCACGGATTTGTCTAAAAATTGATATTTGTTGGCCATAATGGGTTCCAGCTCCGGTGGCGAAACATTGCATGTATGGGTCCATGATTTGATATAGTCCCCATATAACGGTACCTGCCAATATTCGGTATTTTGATGATTTTTGTCACATTTTTTCAAAAATTTATCTGAAAATTGGTAGTTGTAGATCATAATGGGTCTCAGTTCGTGTGGCGAGTCATTGTAATTATAGGTCCAAGTTTTGGTGTAGCCCCCATATAACGTTACCTCCCGATATTCGGTAATTTGATGATTTGATTTTTTGAAAAGTGATATTTGTAGGTCATAATGGGTTCTAGCTCCTTCGGCGAAACATTGCATGTATAGGTCCACGACTTGGTATAGCCCCCATATAACGGTACCTCCCGATATTTGGCATTTTAATGGTTTTTACCACATTTATTCTATAATTTCCTTTACCCCAAGGTGGAGGGGTATTAAAAGTTTGGCCCGGCCGAACTTAATGTTTTTTTACTTGTTTTGTAGTCCAAACGTTTGGGCAGAAACGTTATACTTGGCCTAAAACTACAACTTAAATTTTTTTTTCTTGATTTTATTCTTTTCTGTCAAAAGGTCAATCGCTGAAATTACAAATATTCGCTGATTATTTAAAATTTTCGTATTTTGATACCCTACACCACATAGTGGTAAGGGTATTATGTCTTTGTGCATTTGTTTGTAATATGGAGAAGGAAGCGAGATTGACCCATAGTCACTCTTGAGGATATTCAAAGAATCACCTTCTGAGTCGATTTATGCATGTCAGTCAGTGTGTCCGACCATCTGGCCGTCCGTCTGTCTGCCCATGTATTCTTGTTAACAATATGCAGTTTGTATTTATTATCCGGTTGAGATGACATTTTCCAAACAATATTTGTTTGTTCCAAGGACGAACCCTATTTAAATTGGTGACAACCGGTTCAAATTTAGATATAGCTCACAAATATATGTGTCTTCAGCCGATTTCGGGTTAAAAAAGGCCTGCGTCTTGGCACATTCGACCGAATTCAGTCTAGAAGCAAGTACATCAAATTTGGAGAAATTCGGTTCAGATATAGCTATAGCTCCCATATATATGTTTCATCCGATTTGGTGTTTAAGTCGCTCAAATTCGTAATACGCATTTGAAAACAATGATATTTGGTGCCAGATAACAGATACAGCCCAGAAATCATCCAGCCGTGTTTTATCGAGATCGGTTTAGATATGGATATAGCTCCCATATATCTTCAACCGATTTCGGGTTTATTGTGCACCAAATGGCTAATATAAGTCCAAATGACCTGTAATTTGGTACATCCCACCAAATTTAGTCTAGAATTAAGTAAATCGGAAAATCGGTTCAGATATAGCTAAAGCTCCCATATATATGTTTCATCCGATTTGGGGGTTTTAAGTTCCTCACATGCGTAATATGCACTTTAGAAGAAAAATATTTTGTACTGGACGTCACATACTGCTCGATAATACCTCTGTCAAATTTTATCTAGATCGGTTCAAATTTGGACATAGGTCTCATACATATCTTCAACCAATTTCCTGCACCAAATTAATTAATTAATTAATTAAATTTAGAGAAAATCTCTTCAGATATAGCTATAGCTCCCATATATATGTTTCATCCGATTTGGGGATTTTAAGTCCCTAACACGCGTAATATGCATTCGAAAATAATGATATTTGGTACCAGATAACAGATACAGCACAGAAATGCCTCTGCCATGTTCTATCGAGATTGGTTCAGATTTGGATATAGCTCCCATATATCTTCAACCGATTTCGTGTTAATTGTGCACCAAATGGCTAATATAAGTCCAAATGACCTAAATTTTGGCAAATCCCACCGCATTTAGTCTAGAAGCAAGTAAATCAAATTTGGAAAGAAAATCGGTTCAGCTATAGCCTCATATATATGTTTCATCCGATTTGGGGGTTTTAAATGCCTCACATGTGTAATTTGCATTCCACAGCATTGATCTTTGGTACTGGATATCAGATACAGCTCTGAAATAAGTGTATCAAATATTGTCAAGATCGGTTCAGATTTGGATATAGCTACCATATATCTTCAACCGATTTCGGGTTAATTGTGCATCAAATTGCTAATATAAGTCCAAATAACCTGTATTTTGGTACATTCCACCGAATTTAGTCTAGAAGCAAGTAAACCAAATTTGGAGAAAATCGGATCAGATATAGCTGTAGCTCTCACATCGGAAATACCTTTGCGAATTTTTATCAAGGACGACTAAGATTGGGATATGGCTACCATATATACACTTAATTAGATTTCAGTGCAAATAGTGGCTAGTATCAGCCCAAAGGCAAATTATCTTTCGATCCTCACGAAAATGATCACAAGGGTAAGGTTAGGAGGCTCAGAAGGACTAGGCTAATTGTTTTTAAAGATGTCCGCAATATTTTTAGGGGTTGAAAAGGACCAACAACTAAAAATGTTCCTGATTTTGAAGCCGTTACAGGTTTGCAAATAGAGACGAACTGGTCGGAATTAAAACCTACTGTTATAGAAATGTAAATATAGAAATTCAAATGGACCAAAAATAAAAACCTTTTCCTGATTTTTCAGTCGATCTACATGAGGAGAGAGTTAGGGACAGGGAAGAAGTCGAGCACTTTGGATGGTCAGTGACATTATTTGAAAATCGAAAACTTAGTAAATGAATTGGGGCGTAAGAGGGCTTCCAATATATTTTAGTGTTGTTGGGTATCACATGGTCGACTCCCCACGGCTACAGTCTTTGCTTACTTGTTTTAATAAAATATGTTAAGTTTTTCCTTGTTAAACATACAACCGAAACAAATTTACAAGTCTTTCCTAAAAGTAACTTTACTGAACAATTCAGCAAATAATTAAATCTAGCGAAGAATTCCTGAAATGAGGATATAAAGTATGTCCAATGTCTACATATACCCCGGGTGAACTACTGACAGTGTCACTTTCTACCCCCATTCCGATGTCAGATGACATACCATGCCCTTAGTCTGCGGGCATATGTATGGGGGTATATTCTTTATTTTTAAAACTAATTTCAACCAGTGAAAATTTTTTGCAGTTTTTACAATAGAATGCCCTAAACAATGATTTGATCTGGTTGGGTATTATTTCCCTTTTTTTTCGCATGAAAGATATTTCCACACATTCCATTCGGCTATTAAGTTTTGTATAAATTCTAAGTAAATGATTTCATTTAAAAACGTTTAATACATTCTGATTTACCTCCATCAAGGCATTGAATATTATCAAACACCAGCAAAAAAACAACGATAATTTATGAGTGCGCCATTGATTTGATTGACAGCAAAAAGGCACGAGTTTCACTGGGTCTCGGATTATAACAAATCGTTACAAAATTGTTTTCTTTAAATGTGGTTGCGGGCTTCCATTTTTTTTCAGACCATAATTGTCATGGTTAGAAACGATGCTAAGCGTAATTAATGCAATACTACTTATGCGACGAAGTTTAACAATTAAAACATTTTAGTGACGACGGACGACGACCAACAACTCCCGCTCATATGGCAGCACAAATAGCCAGCACATACATATGTACATACACACATACTTCAATGGCCATATGGGAATGCTGCTACAAAGTCACGACCATGATCTTTGTGATTTGGTCTGCCCCAACTCGATTTGAAGCGGTAACGAAATAGACGTTTAGACCTTAACATTAAATGACTCTTTGACTTGGCACATTGTTACACTTACTTACATTTCATTTCATGAGCACAACAACAATACCAACAACAAGAGATCTGCAAATGGCATCAATAATAAAAGCAATCAGACAGAGAGAGAGAGAGAGAGAGAGAGAGAGATTGGCATGTGAATGGTGCAATATTGGGCGGTTGTGTGTGTGTGCTTTTTTGGAGGGGAACAAACTAAATGACAATCAATCCGTTAGTCTTAAACAAAAAAACAAACGACCTGACATAAAGATAGACAAACCGGCAGCCATTTATCTAAATCGATTTAGATTTTAAAACAATCGGACAAAAAAAACTGTCTACCCGAGTTATCAACCAACTTTAATCTATCGATTGATTGTCTAACCGGACAATAAACACTGTCCGATAATTGTAGACAATCACCTGTTGCCTGTATGTAATTCATTCGATACAATTGCATGGATTTCCCCCATTTGATGTCGATGGCTAATAGACTTATATAAATACCCACATTTAATTACAATATTAAAAACAATATATTGTACGTCATTATTTTAATTATTATATTTTTTAATGAATTATTAATTTTTATAGTATTTAATTGAAGAATCGTAATCGCTATTGTAAATTAATTTTAAATGGATCATATTAGTCATTTGATGTACGAGGGTAGGTTGGAAAATATATTTGAATGTTGAAAACGAAATTAAAGGCAAGCGTTGATATCAATGATCAAGCATTTCCTTCGAGATTTGAAAGTAATGACTTAAGACCGTAGCTTCTTTCTTAATGTAATATGCCATGGCCCATTTGATGATCCAATAAAGGAAATTGACAGCATTATTTACACATTTGAAATAATATTAAGCAACTGACCCCTAGTTAGGCATATTTCAATTACTTTTTATACCCTACAGCACTATGTATTGTGGGTATTATAAGTTTGATATGGTCAAAAATTATATAACACCTCCAAATATGCATGTCGGTCCGTCCGTCCGTCCGTCCATGTATTCTTATGAACAAAATTGCAGGTCGCATTTATTATCCGATTGAGATGAAATTTTGCAAACAATACTTGTTTAGCCCAAGGACGAACCCTATTAGTCATAATCAGATCAGATTTAGCTCCCATATATATCCTAAACCTGACCTGAATTTTTGTACATCCCACCGAATTCACTTAAGAAGCAAGTAAATCAAATCTGGAGAAAACCGGTTCATATATAGCTACCATATATATGTTTCATCCGATTTAGTGTTTAAGTCCCTCAAATTCGTAATATGCATTCAACAGCAATAATATTTGGTAACAGATATCTTATAGAGCTCGGAAATACCTCTGCTAAATGTTATCAAGCTCGGTTCAGATTTGGATATAGGTCCCATATATATCTTCAACCGATTTCGGTTTAATTGTGCACAAAATGGCCAATATCAGTTCTAATGACCAGAATTTTGGTACATCCGACCGAATTCAGTCTAGATATAATCAATCAGACATAGCTATAGCTCCCATATATATGTTTCATCCGATTTGGGGTTTTAATTAACTCACATGCTTAATATGTACTCCAGACGAATGATATTTGGTACCGGATATCAGATACTACCCGAAAATACCTCTGTCAGATTTTATTGAGATCGGATCAGATCAGGATATAGCTTGGATCAGATTAGGATATATCTTTACCCAATATCAGGTTTATTGCGCTGTAGTATTTTAAAAATTGTCTGTGCAGGTCCACGTCTTCGTATAGCCCCCATATAACGGTACCCTCCGATATTCAGTATTTTGATGATTTTAGTGACATTATTGACCGGAATTGTTTCAAATTTCGCATTTGACGTTCGTAATAGATATTACAGCCTGTGACAGAACATTGTCCGTGCTGGTCCACGTCTTCGTATAGCCCCCATATAACGGTATTTTACAGCCTATGCCAGAAAATTGTCTGTGCAGGCTTATGACAAAAGTTGCGTAGACAGGTCCACGTCCTCGTATAGACCCTAATATACGGCTACATTCGGAATTTATAAGATTTTAACAGAATTTTTAATAGCTTTTAATCTTTGAAAAAAAAAATCCAAATTTCTTCGAATGAATTCATAATACTTTTACCACTATGCGCTGCAGGGTATACAAATGTTGTCTCACAGTCTAATAAGTATGATTATGGTGTGTACGCGATCCCCATGTATGATGAGATGAACCACTCGGGCTAGTGTGTGAGACGGGGTTGATGTAAATAGCTATAGCCCCCATATTAGCCACACCTCCAAATTGTTTTTATTTTTTACCACTTGTAATGAGTTGGAATTGGGAATTTTGGCTTCTAATTAGGTATATTTTCTGCTTACGAAAAAATTTCAGTACAGGTCTACTATTAAATTTTGCTGACACATAGGAGTACCTTGTGATCTTTGGCAATTTCAAGGTTTCTTCCAATGGAATGAGATATAATTTATTATTTAGTGTTCTGTAATTTTTAGTACATTTTACATGAAAAAGTTGGTTTTTTCTCTAGTTAGATATTCCGTATATAGGTACATTACCTTCCTGTTTACGACATTGCCTCCAAGGTACGGTGGGAGTATTAAAATAAGTTATCAATCTTTTTATACCCTCCACCATACATAGTATGGAGTGTAATAATTTCTTTATCACCTGGAAGAGAATTATCTATATCGGTGCACGATATCGTATAGCCCCCATATAAAGGTACCACCCCGGTACGGTTCGGCATTTTAATGATTTTAGCCACATTTTTCAATGGAATTGTCTGAAATTCTACACAAAAAGTTTTTTGTGAGTACTTTACCTCCTGAAAGCTAATTGTCTATACAGGTTCACGATATCGTATATCCCCCATATCATCGTACACCCCGATATTCGGTATTTCAATGATTTTTGCCACATTTTTATACCCTACAACACTATGTGTTGGGGGTATTATAAGTTTGATTGGGCCAAAAATTATGTAACACCTCGAAATATTGATTTCCCACATAGGAAAGTATATATGGATCTTCCTAGCTCGCCGAGCTGAGTCGATCTAGCTATGTATGTCCGTCCGTCCGTCTGTCCATGTTAATTTGTAATCACTCTACAGGTCGCAATTACGGCCCGATCTTCACGAAATTTAGAATGGAGGTGGGGCTAGGGTCAGAATAGAACCCTATTTCTTTTGGAGATGATCGCATAATATTTAGGGGTCGAAATGGACCAAAAACTGAAAAAATGTCGGATTTTGCAGTAGCTATACAGGTCGCAATTATAGACCAATCGACGCGAAATTTCGCATGTAGAGCTTAGGGCGGGGAAGAAGCCTACCAATTTTGGTCCTCATCGGATAATATTTAGCGGGTAAAATAGACCATATCTTTTGTGTTGAAAAAATTCAAAATTTTTCATTAAACCGCGAATATTTTAAATCCCGGCGAAATCCCAAAGCCATGGCAAGGTTACTTCTGATCTTTACATTGATGTTAACATCCAACAAAACGGATATATAGCAAAATATGTGCGATGTATATGTCTATCAAAGAAGATATGCTTGAAAGATCTCTTATATGTCGAGAACGGCTGAACTGATTTCGACAGTTCTCATTAATTCAGAATGGCCTCTTGGCAGGTAGGAAAAAACGTCTAAAAAATCGCATAAAAATATCTCTCTAAAGATGAAAATATTGATTTTGTAAAATTTTCTCATATTTTTTCAATTTTGTCATATTTTTGGCATATTTTCATTTTGAATTAAACATTTGGTAATATTTCTACAGCTAACAAAACTAAGTAGTTAGGATATCAGGATATCATATACAGATCTCATTTATGGTCCCATCCTTACGAAATTTTGCATGGGGATAAGATGAGGGTCAGAATAGAAGTCTACTCTTTTTGGAGATGATCGCCATATATTTAGGGGTTGAAATGGACCAAAAAACTGCAAAATTGTCGGCAGGTCGTAATTATCGCTCGATCCCCACGCACATCTGAATGGGGGTTACCGGACATTGCAAAAGCCAAGCAGTTTCGGATGGGAATGTGCATGATATCATATATGTAGGTTCCTCCCGATATTCGGCATTTTAGTGATTTTTGGGACGTCATTCACCGGAATTGTTTCAAATCTTCTATATCTATAAAAAAAAGAAAATATTTGTATGTTTGTTTGTTTGTAATTTATGGACTCGAAAACCGCTAAACAGATTTTCCTGAAACGGAATTTGGAACAAAAAAAAAAAAAATAAATAAATTTGACAAATTATATTGAAATCGGTTTAGATTTGGATATAGCCCCCATATATATATATTTTTTTTTTTCGTTCATTTGATGCCTCAAGCACGATTTGAATGTTCGATTCCAATGAAATTTGGAATATGTGACGGGATTTAATCCGAAAATAAATTTGTCAAATTATATTGAAATCGGTCCAGATTTGGATATAGCTCCCATATATATTTTCGATCGATTTCATATATTTGATGCACCAAACACGCTATGTATCTCTAATTTCAATAAAATTTGGAATGTGAAGCGGAAATTAAAACGAATATACATTTGTCAAATTATATTGAAATCGGTTCAGATTTGGATATAGTTCCCATATATATTTTCAACCGATTTCGTTTATTTGATGCTTCAAACACGATATGTATGTTCGATTTCAATGAAATTGGGAATATGTGACGGGATTTTGATTAGAAAATAAATTAGTCAAATTATATTAAAATCGGTTCAGATTTGGATATAGCTCCCATATATATTTTCCGCCGATTTCACATATTTGATGCACAAAACGCGATACGTGTATCAGATTCCAATAAAATTCGGCATGAGTGACTAAATTTGGTACAAAAATAAATTTGACAAATTATATTTAAATTCGCTCAGATTTGATTATGGCGCCCATATATATTCTAGGCCGATTTCACATATTTGTTGCACCCAAAGCGAGAGAGACGAAGTCTGGCGCCAAATTAATTTGAAATCAGTTGAGGTTTGGGTATAGCTAACATATATATTTCGGCCGATTTCATACATGTCATGCACCAAACACGATATATATGACCGATTCCAATG